TTTAGAAATTGATATTCAAATTCCCCGCCATATTTTCATAATTTGGTGCATGCGCAGACGTTTTTCCGCGGTGTTCACGAGGGATGCTACGGAATCTGTTTTCTAAGCATACTTTCGACCCTCATCTCACGGTCTACAATTACGTAATTGCTGTGCCAAGTGGTGTCCGTGACACAATTTTGATAGCTGTTCATGACAACCCTTTCGCTGGTCATTTAGGAATAACCGTCGCACCGAGGAAAGAGTGAGAAAACGTTTTTATTGGCCTGGTATCCGTGTTGACGTTGAAAAGTATGTTAAGCATTGTGCAGTATGTGCACATCACACTTCACCAGTTAACTTAAATCGAGCGCCAATGGGTACTATTGCTGTAGGGGAACCAATCACGTTTAGCCACGGCAACAACTAACAAGCACATACTTGTCGTTGTTGATCACGTTACAAAATGGTGTGAGGCATTTGCCACTCCTGACCAAAAAGCAAGTACAGTCGCGCCTCTTTTGATAAGTAGAATATTTTCACGATTTGGCCCACCTGCGGTTTTGCATTCAGACCAGGGGCGCAATTTTGAGAGCGTTTTAATGCATTAAATTTGTGATGCTATGGGTACAACAAAGACTAGAACAACGGCGCATCATCCGCAATGTGATGGTCAAACAGAACGCCAAAATAGAACACTCCAAAGCATGCTGTCCTCATTTGTTTCAAGTCGGAAAGATGATTGGGATTTGTGGCTAGACAGCGTCACGTTTGCGTACAACACAAGTAGGCATGTTGTACTAAGGCCCCCTTTACACGAGCCCGGGTTGATTTTCAACCCGGGTCAGCACGCCACAGGTGGTTTTTTTTTTATTTTGTTTACATGAACCCGGGTTGACGACAATTTTGCCAACCCGGGTCAGCAATTCTCAACCCGGGCTGACTCGAGTAATATTCCGAGCAACAGACTGGAGCAGAGTGTATTTTTGGCGCTTATATCCCTTAAACTCCCTTATAGACCTCATACGATATTATTACGATTATTATTATTACTTTTAGTTTTGGCGCTTATTATATCTTTCAGTATACAATTATATCCCTTTTTATCAAGGATTTAACCGTATAGCAACTTAATTCTGCCTTAAAGACGTTTTCTTCCCTTTTTTCCCTCGTTATTTTGTACTGGAAGATCTACTGGGCAAAAATATTCGGCATCGAACGCCAACGCCAGACCTTCGCGCAACTTTGAACACATTGCGACAACATCGGAGTTGAAATCTACATTTTTATAATTCATCTCCGTCTTATAACGGCTTCAGAGAAAGGAATAAGTGATCAATAATTTCAGACCACCACTGAAACGCGGGTTGTGCATTTTTTCTTTTGGTTTTGGATAGTTTTTACTCGCCATACTGTATGATTTTATATGTCTGTACCAAACAGAGACGGAGAAAATACGCACGCAAAATGTTGAAATGCGATATGACGCTAGGTGCAAAGTTCACAATCAGGAATTTACCGCACTTTACATGATCCCGGGTCAAGCCAACCCGGCTTTACATGAAGAAATGAGTAAACTTTTCACGCGTTCACACCTCGCCAACCCGGGTCGACCCGGGTCTCGAGAAGGGTGCCCCGGGTTGGCGAGGTGTGAACGGTTGACCCGGCTATCGTGTAAACGCTAATAGAGATTTATTCGTAGACGGGTTGACCCGGGTTGGCAAGCCAACCCGGGTTGATAGTCAACCCGGGCTCGTGTAAAGGGGGCCTAAGTGTCTCACCCTACGAGGTAATTTCTGGTCGCGCATCTCGCCTGCCTTTAGAATTAGAGCCAGGAATGCCTCTTTCAAACCCAGTTAGACGCAATGAATACATGAATGAATGAATGAATTTATGAATGAATGAATGAATGAATTTATTTTGATTTGACACCAACATTACAAAAAAAAATAAAAAATAAAAAGATTGTAAATTTCATGCATATACTGTATATATAAATATTATAGAACTGTTATATAATAGTTAGATATTTAAATAAGATAGATAAGTTATATAAATAAGTATAGTTCGATAAATAAATTTTGTTCAGTCATCATGTTGGTGACAAGGAAGCCTAAGACGAAACCACAAGGCTTATAGAAGTTTAGGCTCCCTTTTAAATGAGCACAACATATATAAACACAAAGGGGAATCAGACGTTTAGAGCATATAAAATTATTTTACCAGTTTCATAATATAAATGATGGCTATATTAGATATTTTAACATTCTATTCCTGAAGCAACTTAAAGTCTCTGATGTTTTCCAGAAGGGAATTCCATTTTTGGGGTCCTTGGAACAAAATAGTAAACTTCTTTATGTTTGTACGACATGTATGAGGTCGATATGCATTTGCATTTCTAGTGTTGTAAGAGTGCATGTGACGACTAGTAATGAAAATATTATGAAATGAAGATGGAAGTAGATTATAATGATAGCAATACATGAATTTAACAATGTATAAGAAATTAATTTTATAAATATCAAGCAGATTCAGCCGATAAAACAGTGGTGCAGTATGTGCTGTAAAGTCAGCGTTTGTCAAAGCTCTAACAAGTCGTTTTTGGATTAAAAATAATCTTTTTACATTTGTGACATAGGTAGAAGACCAAATGACGTTGCAGTAGGTCAGATATGGGTAAATCAAGGTATAATATAGGGATAATTTAGTTTTCATAGACAATAGAAAACGTGATCTATAGATTATACCGGTGGATTTTGAGACTTTTTTGCAGATGTGATCAATATGAAATTTCCATGAAAGATTTTCATCTATAAAAACTCCAAGGAACTTGACCACCCGTTTTTGCCTAAGCTTATTTTCATTAAACATACATGCAATCACTAAGGTCGGTATTTCGTGACGTGAGACAAATCGCAAAGCAGCAGCTCACCAAAGTATCCGAGAAACGAGCCGGGCACAAACAGGGAACAAACACCTAGCGGCCATTTCATGAAGGACAAACGGTCATGCTCAGAGGACCTAAAGGCTGGAAATTAGGTAGTAAATAGGTTGGACCTTACAGAATACTAAAACGGTTAGGGGTTAATTACAAAGTGATATCTAGGGGAGGCGTGGAGAAAGTTGAATTGTTCATCATGATCAACTTAATTTAAGTTAAGTTATGTCCCTTTTAAACCGGGCAAACTTGTTTGCCCAGCTAGGGAAGTAGGCGAGTTTCGGGTGGTTGACGTTGCACCTCAAGAAGTGGGAAACCCAAGAGCAAGGCCTGCCAGACTTTGACAAACTGTAAGACCTCCAGATCGCTATGGCTATTAAAACATTTTTGTATAATATGTAGAAAACATCTCGAGTGTCCTCGGGACGAGAACACTAAAGGAGGAGAGTGGTGTTACGATTGTGTAACATGAATTAGCATTATTTGCGCGTGGGTCGATGACTTAGCATATTGCGGTAGGCCGACTCCCTTCCGTATCGCCCATGCATCCTTGAAGTAGTTTATGTAAATTGTGTAGTCATTGTAAACGCCCTATTTATTTAGACTATAAATATAGAGAGATTGTCCTTAATAAAGCAGATTCTAACTAAGTGTGCTGAAGTGATTATTGGGATCCCGGGACGCTACAAGCTTATCCTTTGTCAATAAGCTTATGAATTATTAATGAGTGTTTGAAGTAGTATTTAAAACACGAGAAGGAGTGTTTTATCATATTTAAAACGCGAGGCGCAGCCGAGCGTTTTAGATATGATAAAACGCGAATTCGAGTGTTTTGAATAGCTTATCTTTATTAAAATACGACTACAAAAGAATACTAATTAGGATGAACAATTATATAATCATACTAATTAGGATGAACAATTATATAGAGAATACTAATGAAGATGAGTTTTATCATCTGCATCATAGCCGGCTTTCTTAAGAGGCTAGACAACATAAAGACACGGTACGAGACACAACTACATTATCTAAAGATGGAAACACCCCAACCGTAAGAATTTTATTGTGGTTATGCAAAATGAAATTAACAAAACTGCAAAAGTTGTTGTTGGGTATTTTATTCTGTTATTTTAACTGATTTTTGTGCAGCATATTGCCAAAACGGAATATAATCTGCCGGTATCGTGTGAACAATTGAAACTGTGATTTTCTGCCGGCAGAATTCCATGCCGGGGTCTTAGTCATGGTCATTCTCGTACCCAGAGCCCTTCTTGCGCGTGGTGCGACGAGGGGCTCTGGCCAAATCCATTACCGGATACCATAAAAACATGGTAAGAAAACAATGTCCGCAAGTCCGCAATGTCCGCAATTAGATGCAAGCACCCGCAGCGAGCTGCGAGGAGCTTCGTGCGACGACGACGACGACGGCGGCGGCGGCGGCGGCGGCGACGACGACGACAAGATTAGCAGCGATTGGGGACCAATTTCTGGTCCAATAATACTAATAAGGCAGTACCTATTGTAGTCGTGTGCTCATTATAGTATATTCTTTCAGTTATATAAACAATACTAATAAGGCAGTATATCTATTGAATTTGTAGTCGTGTTTGAAGCCGTTTAATATAAACTCGCTTATTAAACAGTACGTACATAAAAATTCATCTAGTATAATGCTACATGAAGATTATGAATTATGTATATATAAACCTGACAAAATGCGGAGACACTTTGTCATAGAATCTTATGTACACTATAGATAGTGCATCTAATTATTCTGCAATTCAAAAATTGAAGCCGTGATTCCAGTCTCAGGTCGTTCCCATGAAATAAGAAGATTCGTATGTTTTGTATTCCTGAAACAGGGAACTTAAACATTAAGTTAACCCTATTCCAAATACGTTCTTAAACAATTCAAATGATGAAAGTTATTTATTGTTGTTTTTAAGCGTTTATTAGAGAGTTTGAGCAAGACAACGAAGTACGAAGTCGAGAACGTAAATTGGCGGCGGGAGTCTGGGGCGAGCAGTCGACGTTGTAGGTCTTCGTATGGCGGGAAATGTGATTTGAGCTGATATCAGTAAAGATGGCGACGTGTAGAGCCGAGTACGAACAGTTTCTTTTGGTAATGCTGGTTGAAGATTGTTTAGAAGAAGAAGGCGTAATAATGCTTTATGATACAAGCATCTTAAACAGCCCTTATATTCCCTACAAGCATTATCCCAAGTTCAATTTAGACAATCTAACTGCAGATGAATGTTTGGTGAGATTTCGATTTGAGAAAGATGATATTTTCAGATTAGCAGATGCCATGCAAATTCCTGAGAAGATAGTTTGTCCTAACCGAACTGTAGCGTCAAAGATTGAAGGTTTATGTATCATGCTGCAAAGGTTTGCCTACCCAAACAGTTACTGTGAAATGGTTTCTTGTTTTGGAAGGTCAGTTTCCGAACTCTGCTATATTTTCAACGAAATGGTAGACATTACAAGTCTTCGTCATGGTCATCTACTTCAGTCGTTTGATCAAGAGTGGTTACAGCCAAACAACCTCAAGAAATATGCTGATGCTGTATACGAAAATGGAGGAGCACTAGAGAATTGCTGGGGATTTGTGGATGGAACAGTCCGCCCAATATGCCGCCCAACTAAGAATCAAAAAGTTGCATACAACAGGCACAAAAAGGTCCATGCAATCAAGTTCCAGAGTGTGGTGGCTGCCAATGGACTGATTGCTAACCTTTTTGGCCCTGTAGGTATGTATTATTATTTTTTAATGTTTTCCTTGAACGACTTCCCTTCCCATACACTACACTACAAGACATGAGTCTGTGAAAGAGGCTCACTTCTACATCCCCCCTTCCCAAATGTATTTCTCAGCAAGTTTGAACATTTCTGGAGAAAAGGTGGGTCTTTTGCATTTTCACTAAATATTTTCCCTCTAATTTGATAGAAGGCAAAAGACATGATGCCAGGATGCTGACAATGTCTGGATTGCTTACCCAATTGGAGCAACACTCGCATGCACCAGATGGATCACCACTGTGTATATATGGTGACCCAGCATACCCTCTAAGGGTTCACTTGCAATCACCATACAAGAACAACAACCAAACAGATGCTCAAAAAGCATTCAATACATCAATGACCCGTGTAAGAGTGTCAGTGGAATGGATCTTTGGTGATATAATTGGGCATTGGAAATTTCTTGATTTCAAAAAGGATTTGAAACTTGGGTTGAGTGCTGTAGGTAAACAGTATGCAGTTGCTGCTTTGTTGAGAAATGCTTTGACATGTCTCTATGGCTCAACAACTACCAATTACTTTTATTTGGAAGCCCCGACCATTGAGCAATACTTTCAAACTTGAACATTTCTTTTAATAGCCAATAAAATATAAATAGCTTGAACAAAATGTAAATATTTTAACCTTCTGTTGTGGAACAATCTGAACATATGATTTATATGTTTTATTAAGTGTACACTACAAAATATCCCTAGAGTATTTTGACTCAAAGTATGTACCCTTGAGAAAAATTAGTCAAAATTATGAACATGTTTGCCCAATTGTTTTAGTAAAGTTTCATATTTTAAGTAATTTTACTCACTGTCTTGAGTCACTGCAGGTACATTATTTTACTCAATATGTCAATTCACTGGATGCATTTTGAGCCAAAATAGTCAGGGACTTTAGTGTAGTTCCAGAAAATATCCACACCCCTCCCAAGGAAGGCAACTTGCCTGGTACCACCTACTACATTCTGGATTTTCAAGCCTATATGCCAAGCAAGATTCATATTTTGCCCAGCCCCCTTTGAACCTCCCTGATATTTCCACTTGTGTTGCATGAGGGATTATGGATATTTTCTGGAACTACCCAATGTACTAAAGTGTGTTAAAAAACTCCAACACTGTTTTTTTCAAATTAACTTCAGCAACAGTTATGTAAACTATTTGATAAAATTCACTTTTTCAGTAATTTTACCATTTCCATCATTTGCAATTGCTGCATTTGCTGCATTTGCTGTTGTTGATCAAAGCTAGCTTTCATAAACTCCATCATCTGCTGTTGCTGTTGACCTAAAAACATATTTTGCTGCTGTAGCAAACTTTGTTGAAATACTTGATCTTGCTGTTTTTCCTCCCGTCTTCCTTGTAACTTCATTTCAAGACTCTTTGAAAGAACTTGGCCAATATCTACTCTTTTCCGCCTAGTTGTTTGTCATCTTTTCCAGATTTTCCCTCATCTTCCTCATCTTCAGATTCATCTTCCATACTTTTTCGCCTTTTGGTTTGCCCAATTATTTCTGTAGCAGTCTTTCGCATATCAATTGCCATCTGTTTTTCTTCGGCCACTTTCTCGGATTCTTTATTCCACTCTTCCTTCACTTCCTCCATCCTCTCATGAACATCTCGCATGGCCATCTCAAATTCATCTTCATCTGTACCTTCTATTCCACTTGCCTTTTCTTCATCTCTTTCTTTTTTCAGCCATTCTTCATATAGTTTACTAAACTTTTCTCTAACACTTCTGATGGATACCTTAAACCCATGCTCAGTGCTATTTAAGTTTTCGGCAATCAAGGTCCAAGCATTGCCCCTCTCTTTACTTCCAACTTTGTGGACATATGGCTCCACCACCAAAATTTCTCTTAGCAAAGCAATCTTATGATGTTTTCTCCAAACAAACACTTCTTTGCGAATACTCATCTAAAATAGTATAATTATATTCAATCTTGAAACATGCAAAGCCGATCAAGCTCTGCAACAGACTCAGTGATCAGAGCATTGCACTAGAATTGCAAGTTTGTGGGTTCAATTCCTGCCAAAAAGCCTATGTAGTTGCATTTTTTGCAACTGGTCCCAGTTTGGTCTTAGAATGTATGTATTCCTCACTCGAAATTTTCCTTCGCCAAAAATCCCTATAGATTACTTAGCCATTTTAGTCATTGACATCATCAATTTTGTGTCCATACTGTACATATTATTTTTTTAACTCTTCCAATTATTTGAGTATTTCCCATTATATGTAAGTTAGATTCCCCAGAGCATGTGACTGGGGGGACAAGTTTCAACTCAATATAGTTAGGTGTAACATTCAATTTTTAAATCAAAACATTAAATTCAACCCTTCAATCTACATAAATATTTCAACAAAAGTATCTATAAGCAACAATTGTATTGTCTTATACTGTAATACCAGGTAATATAAACACACAACTATGAAAAGGAAAAGTTGTTTTGAATACAGCGTGAGCATAGCCAAAGTCAATCAGATAAAAACAACAAAACTTTACAGTATATATTTGTAATTCAAATCAGGTCCACGATATAGCAAAACATCCAACATTTCGCGATATTAATATTCTTATATTCATCGCATAAAAGCTTCAATAATTTACTAAACCATGTACATAAAAGCTAGCCTATCACATATTTGAAGATTATGAACCAAAAAAGTACAGATTGAAGGAGATTTTACCTTTCAAACTTCTTCGTAGTCACCACAACGAACTTTGTAAAATTCTTCGTTCTCAACGAAGGCTGTGCAACGAAGACGTCGAAAAGCAACCGCTGGCACCAACCGCAGTATGCGCGAAATAATGCGCAGACGTCGAAAACTTGTCAGGTACGTTTTCGTCTTCGTACTTCGTTGTCTTGCTCAAACTCTCTAAT